GAAGACCCAGCTGGACTTCTGCTGTCTTTCCAGCCTCAGTATTGATCACAGAATGATCAACAGAATTTGTGATGGTCCCCTGCCCTTCTTAGATAGTGATGTGCTACCAAGAGTGAAAAGGAGGATACATTTTGCAAATGCAGCTAGTGTTCTGCTTGGTTATATGTAGGTATACGTGTTGACTGCGATGTAAGAGGAAAGCTCTATTTCCTAGGCTTTTAGCAGAGCCATGGGGCGGGAGTTAATAAGATCTTCTCTAACTATTAGAAGCATGTCACACATAGTTCACTTTCCTGTTAAGGAGTGCAGTTTTTAAAGTATGTGTTGAAAAAGTTGCAATGTGGTGACTTGTTTGGGTTTTTTGTGTTTTTTTTTTCTTTTTTAATACTGCTTTCTAGTGCTAGGTTATAAGTAAAATTTTGTTTGTGATAGTGCAGGGAGAAAATTTGCTCTTTGTATCCTTAAAAGCGCCTTGTAAGTGTCAAACTGCAAAGGAAAGACTTTTGTAGCTGCTAAGTGAATTATCAGAATAAGGAAAATAAGTTTTTTTGGTTTAGATTTACTTAGACAACTCTGAGGTGACAACAATGTATTAGTGGCAAGATAAAATTCTCATTCCTATGTAAGTCAGATTTATCAGTTTAAGGGAGCATAATGGTGTGAGTGATTCCTATAGGTTCAAGGATGCTGCACTGTCATAGTTAATATAAAATTATTTCTTATGTCATTATTCTATGTTTTAAATGATCAATCAAAAGCCAAATTATCAAAAAATGTGAAAAGATTTATTTATCTTTTTCCGCAACCAAAATATGATCCTCAAAACCACCGCAGCCAAAGAGACAGCATTGAGCCCGGGATCGGCGCTGGGTGAACCTGGATCCGACCTCTATCGCATCGAATCCCCCCACCCCCGTTCATGAGAGCTGCTTCTGGCGGGGATGTTTTATACAGTTTATTGTGCCCGAGGCAAAGGAGTCCAAGTTTCTTTTGTAACTCTGCATATTCATAGTTGGCTCTTTCACTGTGCAGAGCTGGACAGTCACCTTTTCCTGGTTGATAGCCAGCGTTGATCGAATCCCGGGAAGTCGCGTATTCACTTGTATCTTTCTGGCTCGGCTCACTTGATCACTGTTATCTGCAGAGCGAGATGATCGCTCTTAGGCAGTTTCCCATGACGGGATAGTGGCGATCATCACGTCTCGTGCATCTATTCTTGGGCTAAAGTGCCGATTCGACTCCAGGAATTTCGGAGTTTGAATAGACATCTGCCTCGCAGCCTGCTTGTGGTCAGAGACTCGTTTGGATTTCACAATCTTTATAAAATACATTCTTTTATAGCATGAATTATTTCTAACATATATTACGTTCTACAATGTTAAACTGTCTTCTACAGTGAGCTAAACAGAAGAAAATATAAAAATTGATAGAATTAAGAACTAGGAAAAAACCAAACAAAAACCACAACCAAATGAAAGATTTCTTTGTGCAGAGATACTAATTCCAAGGCAGAAGGCAAGCCCCTTGTGATTAAAGTCTACTTTCCAAATATTGTAGAAGATTGAATGACTCATTCTGCTGTACAGGGAGTTAGGTGAAACTCAAATATCTGTAAGCTACGGTTTGAAGCATCATATGGCTTCTGAAATGTCTTCACTAGATGTTTGCTCCTGGATTTTGTTTGGGATTGCATGTTTGGAGATGGGGAAAAAGAAAATCTAGGTGTTGCTCCACAGCTGACAGCCACTTTGTGATGTTTACTGGGACAGGTACTAAAAAGTTGCTTAAGATGGCATCTTTGGCACTTCTCACTTCTGTCTAGAAGACTGAATGGCAGACCATAACAGAAATTCACTTATACAAATGCTGTGAAGAATTCATGGAGAATTGGTCAGAATAAGTTTTAGTGTTCATTTGTAAAGTTTAAAAACTCACCTTCACACTACCTGTTCACTGGTTTTGAACTAGTTGAAATCCATGGAAACAGAGTGCATTTAAGATTATTGAGAAGTGATGTTTAGTTTATGCACAGTCTGTTCTTTCATCTGGATTAAAAATGCCAACAAGATAATCCAATTAAATCATTATCTTGTTTGTAGCTCTAATGTTGCCTCACAAAAATGCATCAGTGCTCAAGTGAGCACTGGTACACAAATAAAAGGTTTGGATAAAGGAGGCTGTGAATGCCTCAAATGTTATCTTGAGATTGAATGTTACAGATTGGGATTTCAAAGAGTTGCAGACTGAGGTAGAGGAGGAAATTTGAGAAAAGTATAGTCCTAGAAGCAGAGACAAACATGCAGGAATGTAAAACACAGGTGCCAGGTCACTGTACCCTGGGACAACTGGAAAATGAGCTCCTTGGGTGAAGATGCTTTCTCTACACTCCAGCAGAGATAGCAAGGGGGGTTTGGCTTAATGGGCCAATGTGCTGGCTGGAAATTCACAAGGAAGGTGAGCCTGGAGCAGCTACAGCTTCTTGGCTAGATTGCTGGTACCTAGTGAAAATGGCCACAAATCCTTGGTAAACCCCAGTCTGTGGTGGATCAGCTTCTGCTAGTCTTTGCTTTATGCTGTTCTGGTACGGTGCAGGCCAAGATACACTGCCTTTTCACTCTGTTCTGTTGCTGACTTGGCTAAGGTAGGGATATTTCAGTCACTCTGAAACTTTTATTTTGGAGCTTTGTTGCTTGTTGCTTCTCAGGTTTTTTTTTCCCATTTACTACTGAATTTTCAATTGGAGGTTTTTCTAATAAGCAATAATTTTATATTGGAGATGCAGTTTCTCTGCCAAGGTCCAGGTTGTGTCACAGGAGCTTTTTTGGACGTGCATTATTTTGGTTTGGACTGGTGATTTTGATTGTTGGTTGTTATAAATGATCAAACTATAGCTAAATTTATAAAAATTTAACAGATTTATTAGATCGAATAACAAAAAATAGAAAATTTTGAAATCCCACCACAGCCAAGACAGTGTCAGCCCTGGGTGCAGCCGCTGGGTGACCTTGGGTTCCTGCTAACAGAGTGACAGCGTTCTCCCAAAGGTTCACTGAGTGTTCTTCACAGTCAGCTTATATACAGTTTATTCTGCCTGAGGCAGAGATGACCACATATTTCTTTGTGTCTCTTTGCATGTAAAGTTGAATCCATACATGTGTAGAAACAGACAAAGAAGGAGTCCAAGACCCAGACAAGTGTCTGAGTACCCAGGCAGAAGATGTATTCACATGGAGTAGGTGATGCCAGCTCCTGAGTACCATAGATTTAATCAGTCCAGGTGCCCAGTCTTGTGAGGTTCTTGAGACATTCCATTAATCATCTCCCAGGAAGGTCCAGATGATATCTTCCAAATGCTAGTGCCAAAGGAAACCCCCTCTGATAGCTCATGTCTGTCCTATTCATAGGGTAACAGATCTGCTATTGTCTCAGCATAGTCCGGGAATTGGTTACAATGTGCATAACTCTCTTCAGGTCGGGACTCCCCTATTCATACCGCAATAGGCTTGATATTATCTTAATGCTCTCCAGGAATTGGTTATAATGTGAATAGAATGCTGTTCCCGGCCAGAGTGGTCGCAAGCATAGGTTTGATTTTCTCCTAATATTTTATAAATACATATGTCTATTTCTACAGCATGAATTATCTCTATCATATATAACATTGGTTGTACTTTTTTGATGAATTTTCTTTTCACCATGCCTTTGGTCACTTGAAAGCTTGCCAGGTAGAAGACATGTACATGAATTTGTTTAACATGAGCTTGGTATCCATGCTGTAACTGGTGGTGTGTTCCACCTCTAGGTCCAGCCAGTCATTGCCCACTGTTCAAACTACTAATCATTTATCTGCCATCTTGGGGCTAAAGGGAGATGTGCTGGTGCAGATCCCTCAGTCCATTATGTGAATAAAGAAACCTGTTCCAAGATGTTTGGTGTGTAAGGTTATGGTTGCATATACCAGGTGTAAAATAAAAAATTAAGTCTCAGATTTTTAAAATTATTCTGGAGTCTCATCCTAGATCAGTCATGTACCAGGCTTTGGGAAAGCTTTGGGGGTTGATTTGTAATTTGTGAAGGAAGGAATGACGGAAGGTTGAAGGAGGTTTACCTTTACCACAAATGTTTATTTTGTTGTATTCAGAGAGCATTGAAATTGGGAGCTCATGAAAGAAAGTTCAAACTGAAGACATTATGAAGCGATATGTGGAATAAACAAACTCCACAACCAGATATAGTTATGAAGTGGATATGTCAGCACCCAGCACAAGCGAGATAGCTCTCGTGAAAACTTGTGCCTTGAGCCTCAGTCTGACCCTTGCCTTTATTCACAAAGGTGTTCCGTATGCAATACATTGCACAACTTTGCCATGCATATTCAATCTCTGCTCCCCCCCCCCCCTTCTCTCTTTGCATGGTAATCAGATCCACGCCCTTCTGGGCATGCATTGTTTGCTGTGGTGGTCACACGGTCTCTGAGGCTGAAGATTGTGGTCTTCCTCATGACTGAACTTTTGAACTTTTCTGTTTTGCGCATGCGCTTTTGGTCCCATGGTGCTTATCTGAGTATGTCTGTCAGCCTTGATTAGCTCAGAGACAGAGGAGTCCCTTTATCTGGTTTCTTTGCATCTCTTGGTCTTTTCTGGTACTGTTCTTTATGCAAGAAGCTCTTCAGAGATTTGCATTTTACTATGCCCTTTGTATCATGGTGGAGGTTTCTCAAGTAAAAAGGTTAAAATTCAACACATAGTTCTACAGGCTAAACTTTAAATGCTTAATTCATATTGCTAACTCAAGTGAACTCTAAAGATCTCTATTTCACTTATGCTTAACTCTTGTTATACTGTCAGGGAAAAGGTGTAAAGGATAGTCTGAAAGACTCACATGAGCATAATGCTTCTGCACCCCTGTCACACATGTAGGACTTTGTTCAGTTTTCAGGCCACATGTGTTGTTGGATAGCCACTTTTTCTAAAATTAATTTTTCTTGGCTTTTTTTCTAGGATCACATGATTCTTTCAGCTACTGGGTCGATGAGAAATCTCCAGTGGGACCAGACCAAGCAACAGCCATCAAACGTTTGGCCAGAATTTCCTTGGTTAGAAAGATCATGAAGAAATGGTCAGTGACTCAAAATTTGACTTTCAAAGAGCAGTTAGAAGGTGGGATCCGCTACTTTGATCTTCGTGTATCTTCCAAACCTGGGGAAATAGGACAAGAGATTTACTTCATACATGGCTTGTTTGGCATCAAAGTATGGGATGGGCTGAAGGAAATGAATAGTTTTCTTGAGCAGCACCCCAAGGAAGTAATCTTCTTGGATTTCAATCATTTCTATGCCATGGATGACAGCCATCACCACTTCTTGATCAACAGGATCCGCTCAGCATTTGAATCCAAACTTTGTTGTGTTGAATGTGTAGAATATGTCACGTTACTGTACATGTGGGAGAAGAAACACCAGGTAGGGAAAGGATGTTTAATGTTTTTCAAACCCAAAATGTTAATATTTTAAAGAGACAAGCCAAGTGTAGCTCCCACTCACAGATATTGGACCAAGGATGTTGCTGATGGTCAAGTTAAAGCCCACTAGGGCCTCGTCTATGCCATGTGCATGTTTTCCTCCATTTACATGCAGCTGTGTATCCCCTCTTCTATGGTGTGGCCAGTCTGTCCTGCTCCCAAGCACGTTTGTTAAATAATTAAACTGTAGTGTCCTTGGAGCCTTGTGTTCCTTACAAAGGGTTTTCTCTTCTGGAAGGGCATGTAATGCAGAGTTGTGTTGGTGAGGATTTTATTAACTGTTGTCTTTCTAGCCAGTGTGAAGCATATAAGCTTTAGCATGACTAAGGTATGGATGGAATTTCTTACCTCCTTTGCAGCCATCCAGATCTGCCCGAGGTGAGGTTAATAGCTCTTCTCCGTGGTAACTGCTTCCATAGGTACACAGAAACTGAGAGCAGAAAAGGGTTTCAGCAGCAGCACATAATTCTTGAACTGGAAATGAGGCTTTGAGGAATTGTTTTGAACTGATGCTGTCAATGTTAAGCTTCAAGATTAATCTTCTGTAAATGTGGGTGTTTGTAAAAAATGTGTCCTCTTTGTGCTGTAGAGAAGCACCTTACATGGTAAAAAACATTAATTTTGAATTTGAGGGTTTTGCTGACAGCAGGACTGCCTTTGGTTTCTCATGCAGCAAGTGTGAGCACAATGCCAGTACTTCAGTCATGTGCCAATCAGCCCTGCACACTTTGCCCTCTTAGAAGGAGGTATTCAGAAGATGGCAAGGCTGCTAAAATCCTTACCTTCAAGTACAGATAGAGTATTTTCTGGCATTAAGAAGTTGCAGTGCTTTTAAGCTGAGCTCTTTAAATGACAAAGGCAACTTTGTCATTTTAAACTGATGACCCATAAAGCCTGAAGCAATCTTGTCCTCAAAGCTGAATAAAATTATCTTCATCTCCTTTGGCTGTAATGCAGCAAATACACTGACACTCATGACTCAAGAGCAACTTTTTTACTTAGTCCTCTGCACTGCTATGCTGGGTGTAACAGTACTGTATGAACGTAAACCAATGCAGCAGCCTGTTCAAATAAAAATAGAGTAATTTTGACTTGATTTGGTTTTGTTTTTTTCTTTTTTTGTTCTCTTAGGTTCTCATATTTTACCACCACCCTTTGTATCAGGCATATCCCTTCCTGTGGCCAGGTAATAAAATGCCAGCACCATGGGCTAATACCACTAATGTGCACAAACTGCTGCAGTTCCTGGAGACCACACTTGGGGAACGAAGTCGTTATGGGACTTTCCATGTATCTCAAGCAATTCTCACGCCTCGAGTGAAAACGATTGCACGGCATCTGATTCGTGGTCTGAAGAACACACTTGTTCATAGGTAAGGACTTGTCTTGATTGTCTCAGGTCTTTACTTAACATGTCTTGTGTTGAAAGAGGCACTGAGCAAGAAAGAAACTAGGAGATGTTTGCTTAGGCTTGCTGAAAGCATGCAATTTTGCTCAGTACTGTTGTTCATGAAAGATACTTGCAATCATTGAAAATAAAGACAGTGGAAATAATAAAGGAACAGGGTATATATGTGTTTCCTGGTAATTGGAACTTTTGAAATGCGATATGATTTTGTAAAATGTAGGATGGATGTGTGGCTTCAAACCAGTAATTCATTTCAAACTGGCTGAAGTTGGATTTAAGGGAGGAGGGGTGAAAAAAGCTTGTGCCACAGAGGAAAATTGCTTATTTCTGGACTTAGTTTTACATTTATCCATACAGATGTCTCAGTAATTTCAGTAACAGCCAGAGGTGTATGACCTAGGGCAGTATTTTACCTTGTATTTTAAGAGAGCTGGAGGAGAGGCTTTCCAAAAATTAGATTCACCATTTGACTTAATACCATTGACCATTGTACAATTAATTTTCTTATGAGTAAGGTCCCTGTAAGAGAATTTTGCTTTGATTAGCACAGAGTGACAGTGATTTTTATTAGTATTAACAGCATGACCAGGATAGTTTAATTATTAACTATAATAGTTTATTATTATTATATTATATTATAATAGTTTAATTATTAATTATAATTAATAATTATTTATTTTATGGAATTACCACCTTCTAGCCCATTTGCTAAAAATTACCAGAACTGTAAAAGTCTTCGTGGATATTAGGAAGAAATCTTTACTGTGGGGGTGGTGAGGCCCTGGTTCAGGTTGCCTAGAGAATTTGTGGATGTCCCATTCCCTGGAAGTGTTCAAGGCCACGTTGGGTCGGGCTCGAAGATGTCCCTGCAAAAGGCAAGGGCTGTTAGAATGTGATGATATTTAAGGTCCTTTCCAACCCAGGCCACCCAGTGATTCTGTGAATAAGAAAATCGCTGGTTAGGTATAAATCTCGGCGTTTTCAGTCCCGCTCGTGCTCGGAGGCGTTAGTCCGGCCCGAGCTGTTGGTTCGGTGTCGGGGCCGCGCTCGGCACCAGGTGGCGCTGGGGGCCCGCGAGCGCCAGACCCTGCGGGGCATCCGCGCCGAGGCCGGGCGGGATTGCTGGGCCAAAACTACCAAAGGATCGTTGCATTTCGTGGAATGGGCGGGCAACTCTGTTTCGAGGGACTCCTGGCACAGATCTGTGCTCTAAGCCACTCTTAGCGGGAAGCCTGCCTTCATTCCGTCCCTTTCTCTCATCCTTACCACATGTTTGCAATTAAACCGAAAGTTGCAGATAGGTGCTGCTGTTTGTGTAAGTGTGATTACTTGTGTGCATTTGCACAAGCTGGCTGATATGCAAATCTGTCCTTGTTTTATGTAGATGCCTGCCTTCTTGTATGGAAATTTTGCCCTGGATTTGAATATTTAAATTTTCTCAGGTCGTGCTAAAGGACACTTGCAACAAGTCACACTTACCTGGCTGAAGTGTGATGTGTCCCTTGGCAATAGTTATGCCTTTACTCATAATTCTTGATAAGTTTTTTTTATTGTCCTGATTCAGCAGGCGTGAAGTGATTTTAAGTTTTTTGGATTTGCTTTTTTCTCTTAATCATTCTGTTAGCTAATTTGCTAGCCTACCATCTTCTCAAATAATGTATACATGTTACAGCACTAATCTAAATAATGCAAACATATTTAACCGTTTGTGTCTAACTGCTGAAAAGCATGGTATTTCATGTTAGAGTGCAAGAGAGCTGGTGCAGACTCCTAACCTTGAAATTTCTCCCCATAGTAGAATTTCTAACTCTGTTTAATTCAGTTCCTGACACAGCTCTCTTTTATCCAGTTGTAGCAATGTATAAGCAGGATGTTCAACCCCTGTGGAGCTGACAGCTTCGTTCTAGGTTTGGTTTGCTCTTGAGTGAGTCTGGAAGCTGGAGAGAATTTAGGAGAAATGTGATGCTGCTGCCTCCAACTTTTTCTCCTGCCTCCCCTGAGGCAGACGAGGGCAAGGGAGCATCTTGGGCCAGGCATGGCCTTGCTTTGTGTTATGCTGGTTTGCTGCGAAATTGAGCATTTGACTTAACGTGTGCTTCGGTGCAAACAAACCACGGTGGAGAAAATTTTAGTGTAGTGTTAAATCCTGAAGCACAGACTACCCAGTGAATATAGAGGGGTTTTGTATGTCTGCTAGTTGGCACTGATGACTGACCAATATGTCTGTTTGATAGCTAATGACCATGTGCTGTGTTAAGCACTCATTAGCCAATTGCATTTAGGGTGACATCCCTGATCACAAATATGAGATAATATATTTTGTAAAAACATCATGTTGTGTTTGAAATTAGAAGAGTAGGTATACAAAGGTGCCTCTTTTAAAGTGTTTAATTTTCTTTATTTCAATTTCTTTAGGAACCTGCCCATGATTTTGAATTGGGTGAAAGCACAGAAGCCTGGTGTTATGGGTGTTAACATAATTACATCAGACTTTGTGGAGCTGGTTGATTTTGCTGCTACAGTTATTGCATTGAACGACCTCCTTTTGGAAGAGGATGAATCTGCAACTTAAATCCTGATTGCTGTGTTCCACATGTGCTCCTTAGTGGACATCTTTGAACTATGCTTAATGTTTTACTTGTCAAGTGAAACCTATTGTAATCTCTCTCTATGAAAAAATGTTTCCTAGAGGAAACGTGGTTAAACATCATGTACAACCAGGTCCTTTCTCCTGGAGTCATGTGGACCTGAGTTAGCCGAGTACTGTGTATGTGTGCTGCTGTGTCTGTCTGTCTGTCTTTCTGTGTATGTGTGCTCTGTGTGGCTGAGCTGTGCACACATCTGCTGCTGACAGGGGCTGGCCTCTGGAGCAGATGTACCCTATTGTGGCACGCATCTCTTCGGTGACCATACTCCCAGCGCCTGCATGTGTGCATCCTGCCTGCTTCCCATGGCCGGGGCTCACTCCAGGGATCACTGCTGATCCCCTTGGCAGCGTGACCAGGCTGACCGGGTGGAGCTGTTCTTGGGCCACCTCTAGCATAGCTGAGTTCAGCTGGAGGGAGGCTCTACTCGTTATGCTGTTTTAGACACTACCTCTGAATTACTTGAAGAGACAATACTGCTGTTGTTCAGGGCAAACCTGTTAACACTGTGTTAAATATCCAAACTGTCCTTTGGGCCTGAGAGGTGAAGGCTTGGCACAATCTTTCTTCTTGACCTCTTTATTTTACTTTATTACTTCAATAAATTAGTTGCAACTGTGATTAAGTATATTTCTTTTGGCATTAATTTAGAGAATATTTCAGTCTCCAGATTTTGAGGATTAAGACTCAAGTCTGAATTCCTGTTCTCTGTGACATATAGGAAACATTAATTTTCCTGAATTACTGGCACATTTAGGAAAATACAGCATAACCTTTCCTTTTTACCTCTTGGTCACTTGGGGTTTTTTTAATCCATCAAATTTTCTTTGGGGAAAGTCTATCACCCAGGCAGCCCTTCTCTGGAAGGAGGTGGGCCAAGTGGGGGTTTGCTTGATATTCAGAGAACTGGAGCTAACATGGACTGCTCAAAGCCCAAATATTGGATCACTGTGATCTGTGATGGGACAGTGAATTCTGCAGTCAGACCTGAAAACTGTGCTTTTAGAGAGCCACACCTATTGAGGGAGAAATTTCTCCAGCCTTCACCTGCTTGTGACAGAGTAAGCAATAATCACACAAGCAGAGGAGGGTGTTAGTACTGCTTCTTTCTTTAGTCACATTTATTTTTGTGCTGGTTCACAATGAAATGTGACCATGTATGTTTGGGCCAATGCAATCATATATTGGTACTTATCAGCACTTAATTTACTAGCTGGCAGTATCCTATGGCCTCATTTATTGTTGTTTTTTTAAAAAGCACAAAAGGGACTGGTACACTATTTATTCACTGATTATGAATTTGTATTTATCTCTAAGCTTATTTATTATAGAATGGATTGTCTATATACATATTTAATTCAAATGAAAAATTCATCTCCAGATTTATTTCTTTCATTGTTTTATCCTGTGTCTGCCATCATGGTCTGACAGCTGTGAAAAATCACAGCCTTTTTTGTTTGCTAGTCACAACTCAGGAGAAATGTAAAGGTTTGCAAACCTTCCATGTGAACCTTGGCCGAGTTCAGAGCAGACTGTAATCTGAATTATCTGTTGTTTGCATGGCTTTCATTAGAGTTCCTTGAATTTTTTAACTGAATAATTTCTCAGAGGGAGTTGGAGGTAGGGGAAGTGCTTGTCACTCAGTCTCCTTTCCACTTGTGTCTCAGTGATAGGGGACAAGTCATAAAAATCAGGGTTTGGGAACTATGTTCAAATTTCTAGTTTAATACTTCTTTTTAAAACCACAGCAGAAGGTTATTACATTTGGTAATTTTTTTTCTTGTTGATGAAACCATCAGAACCTGTTTTGAACAGTTCTGTTCAGTCTGCAAGTTTATTTAAAATACCTGGATTTTCCTTACCTTAATTTTGTTCACTTTACTACTGATTTACTCATGGCCCCAACTGAAACTCCATGTGGATTTGGTTTTGTTGCTTTTCTTCTGCAAATTGTCTTGGTGCTCAGAGTTCAATTAGATGTTGACACCAAGGTTGTGGGTTTGATCCCTGTATGGGCCATTCGTTTAAGAGCTGGATTCATGACCCTTAGGGGTTGCTTCTGACCCAGAATATTCTGTGATTCTCTAACCTGGCTTGAATGCCAGTGTCATGGTTTGAGCCTGGCACAGAGCCAGTGCCCCCCATGAAAATGCCCTCACCCTGGTGTCTGCTGTGAGATGTGACCAGGAATAAGCAAAACAGGATCCAACTTAAACATAAAGAACACTTTATTACCTAAACTACAGGAAAATAGGGAAAGACCATAAGGAAAAAGAAAAAAAAAAGAATTGAAAACCTTACAAAAAAAC